CAGCTCTTTCCTTGTTGAAGTAAAATAATTCTTAAATGTTTCCTAGTCACTGGTTAAAAAACGAGATAACTTAACAGAATTCGTATTTTCAAGAATTTAAACTTCTTAAAATTTGATTTTTTTTAAATTGTGTCCCATGTTGTTAAAATGATTTTCTTAAGTTTTTCTTATTTCTTGGACTTTTTCTTGAAGGTGATTTGAAGGATTGTTAAATGTACATACAAAGTTTCGGCATACTGTGTCATTGTCAAGTACATGTTTTACTTCTTTACTGATTAAATACAAAATGCAAACCTAATTATTAATTAAAAAATACTTACAAAACGTAAAAAATACAGTCCGGTGGGCAATTTTTCATCTTGCTTTTAGTTTTATGACTTTTTTAAATTGTTTTGTATTTTTGCAATAAAGAAAGTGAAAATGTAAACAATCCATAAAAACAGGAGAAAAAAGGAGGACAACAAAAACGAAAAAGATATTAAGCTTTTTCAACGTTATTATAAATTATGTATGTTTATAAAAAGCTTAACAATAACAAAAAACCACGTTAATTTATTAAAACTAACGAATATTTAAAAATAAAACTAGTCAACTTGCATTGACTTTTGATTGCAGTCAATAGTTTGTACTAAAAGATGTTATTTACAATATATACTAAAATGTTTACAATAAATTCATTGGTTTATTATATTGTAAATTTGCAATTGGATTATACTCAAATTGTAGTGTAGAAAAAAAATTGTAGTGTAGTTGCAGTGACAAAAAAATAAAGAAAAATCATTTTCACATTGATTTCGTGACGTGTTCGAGAACATTTCTTTAACAGGAATAGGCTGAATCACAAGGAAGTGAATCCACAAACTAGTTGGCATTTTTCGAGCTGTTTGATGTTTATTTCCGCCAATTTATCGAGTGGCCAATATAAAAGAAATATCTTTTTTCCATAATAAAAACTATGAAAAACACGTTTTCATCGCAATAACGGATGTTTTGTATGCTGTCTTAAAATTTGTTTTGTTATTTATTACTTTAGGCGTCTTAACGTTGTTTACCTACAGATTGACTCTAATATGCTATTCCAACATCGAATCATTTCATTTTAGCCCAAATGAATTATTAATTTTCATTCAATTGTCTAATGTTTTGTTGTCACATTCTCACAAATATTTTAAGCATTAAATTTTTCCGATTGAAATTTCAGTTCATTTAATTCAATGTTTTCAAAATGTATTACGTGCAAATATTTGCACTTATTGCAAATGCATAATAAGAGTAATACTATTACTTTTAGAAGAATGGTCATCCTCGGCCGAGTAAGGATAGTCCATGCTAGGTTACACGTGGACAATTTTGGTCTAAAGTCCACTTATGTGTTCGGCATCCAGAGAAAGGTAGCTCGATTTAATTGAAGGTGCATTTCCTTGGCTCTTTATAGAGAGCGCGTAGGAATGCCGCCTGAGAATTGTGCTTGAGCACGGCAGCGAGTATCTGGGTCCCTGTTCCGATTCTTGGAGGAAACAGTTATTTTATTGTGTACAGTACTACTGAGTTGTGTGCCTCTACATGTGTTGAGGAGTTAATATATTTATTGGAGTGAATGTGTAGTATGAGAGGGCCGATGCCGGTATATTGAGTACTCCATCGATCCTCAAATATGTTAGTTAATAGGTGTAAAGGGTGATGGAGGAATAGCAAATAATCCACCACATTATCTGAGTGAATGGTATGAAAATAAGTTAGAATATATTTAAAAGTGAGTTAGAGTGTATGGGTTCGGTTTTAGGAACTGATGCGTTGGGGGCTGAAATGACAACCTCAGTGGCTGTACCGGATATGACCGTGTCTGACCCGGACTGCCAAAACCCGTGGTGGGTGTTTGTCGAGGCCTGCCGGAAATTTAGGGAAAATTGTAAAAGCTGGAATTACCGGTGGTCTGCGAGAACTGGTAGGCGAAATCTATCCACGAATTGTGCTTAAATTCCGATGCCTCGAGGAAGTGGGGTTGTTTTATTGCATGTAGTAATGACAGTTTTATGCCCTAGCGGATGTTGATAGGGAATACATTTATTAGCGTGAAATGAACGTGTAGTGCGAAATGGTCGATGGCGGAATATTGAATAACCCATATACCCTTATTTCGCGGTTAGTTACATAATAGGTGTAAAGGGTGATGGAGGAATATCGAGTACTCCACCACCTTGAGTGAATGGTGGTATGTAAATAAGAATGTATTCAAGAGTAAGTGAGAATGTGAATGGGTTTGGATTTAAAAACTGATTCGTGTTGGGTGCTAAATTGAACTAGCTGTTGACAGCCCTTGGAAAACCTCGGTAGCTGGGTGGATATGACCCCAGATTGCCAAACCTACTAGTGCCTCTCGAGGCCTGCCGGTAATTCATTGAAAAGTACAAAAGCTGGAATTATATAAATCAGTAATATCTACGTGGATGTGGGTATTTGCTCATGTCGTTTTTTGTAAAATAACAACTAAGACGTATTGCATTACATTTAATCTTGTTCAATACATTTTTTCTCAATATGGGAAGAATAAATAAATCGGAAATTAACTTGATCTTAACGAAAATTCATCTACCTTGAACATCAAGTTGATGTAGATATTCTTAGTCTAGTCACAGGTTTTTATAAAGAAACTACCAACAAAATATTCACAAAAAGAATCACTTGCGATTTTAAACTTATTTTTAAATAGGGCTTTCATTTTTCTTTCCAGATCAATCTGGCAGATATTTTTGATCACAATGTAAGGATCTACGACGAATCATTTCACCGATAGTCCTACCCCAATTACTGTGAATGACGTTCGTGTCACGAATTTATCCATCGCGAATCGTCTTATCCTGTTCAACCGATCCTACTTCAAACTATTTCGTATAATTCATAATTCTCCCACGGTCTAAATAAATATTTGGGTCGTAATAGACCATAATTGGCTGAAAATCCCCCCCCCCCTGTTTGTCTGCACTTTTGTAGGCTTGGAAGGTCACCAATAGGCTACGTATTTGGAAAATAGAAATTATCCACTTTCTGAATATTAAAAGATATCCTTTTTTTATAACTGATGTTTTATGGAGTCGATCAGATCTTATAAAAAGTCTTATCGACCCTGTCACGAAATGTGTGGTTTTTTGGAGTCCCCGTTAGATTTAGGATATGATTATTTATTATGCCGAAAATGCAATTCTGAGCTCTTATAACATGGTAGGAATTTTTTCTAAAGACTAGAACAACCACTACAATCTTATAAATACTGTTTTATTTTTTAGTATCAATTTAAAAAAAAACAACATTAAAATCTTAAACTATTTAATGGTTACATGGATTACTAAGGTTAATGTCCCACTTGTTTAATTTGTAAAGTACATTTCAAGTTTTGAAGTAAGTTATTACATTTTTCAAGCAAACATGAAGACATATAAACTTAAAACTTTACTTTAGAAATTGAAAAGATGTAACATTAGATATAGATGGAATGTATATTTATTATGTATATAGATGGACTATTGCCCTTTCTAGACATGAAAATTGGTAGAAACTGTAGCAAAAGCCAGAATGTTCTTTACTGATTTATTTAAGCTCAAATCTGCAGCGCGTATATAGAGTTGGGCATACCACTTCTCTCAGTCCACTGACAATTCCAGCTTTTGAACACTGTACATTACAATAAACTACCGGCAGGACTGGAGAGTCACCCACCCCGGGTGTTGGCAGTCCGGGGTTAGATATCGGTCTTATCCATACACCCACCGAGGTTGGGCTCCGGGTGCTGACAACTGCTAGGTCAGTTCAGCCCCCAACGTAATCAGTTCCCAAATCCATTCACACTCTCACTCATTCTTACGTACATTCTCTCTTATTTACATACCGATCTCTCAACTAGGTGGAGTAGTTAATATTCCTCCATCACTCTACATAGGGATAGGGATAAGGATAAAAGAGGCGGCCACAAGACCTACTGCACCTCGACCTGATTAGGTTTATTGTGCTTCCCTGTTATTTATAACTCATCGATCAGCTTCAGATTATTAATCAGCCTCCACGGCTTTGCCAGCGGCTCCTTAGTGTAGGATCTTGCTTGTGGTTTTTCTTGTTTTAGTTGCAAGAACCTGCACCTACATAGACCTTCCCAGAAACAGACTTTTCTTGCAGTATCTGCACAGTGTTTCTTCTGCCTGTACTCCTATCCGGTGCATGTGCCTTCTTAAGCCGCAGTGCCCTGTCAGAATCCTGGTTCGGTTGCGGTTGCCTTCCAGTAATTCTTTTGTAAGTTTGAATGAATCTCTTCGTGTGCCTTATACCTGTGGTATTATTCCACCAGGTTTTTGACTCATTAAGGATCCATTTTAATGTACTCTTTTGTGGCAGGCCTCTAAGCCCAAAGAGTCCATGTTGGCCCCATCTTTGGCCAACGTATCAACCTTTTCGTTGCCCCGAATGTCCAGGGACTCTACATGTATTTTATAACTAGCCTAATTGAGAGTTAATAGGGTATTCAATATACTCTCTCACACTACATATTCACGCTAGTAAATACGTTCAATCTCAATATACGCTAGGGTACACAAGACTATCAGCATAATAAAACAACCATTTCCTCCAAGAATCGGAACACAGGACCCAGATGCTCGCTGCCGTGCTAAAGAACAATTCAAATATCTGGTGGCATTCATAAGCGCTCTCTATATGTAGCCAAGGAATTCACTCTTCAGTTAGGTTGGAACATCGAGCTACCTTTCTTTGCATGGCGTACACATACGCTGGCTTTGGCCCTAAAGTAGCGTTCGTGTGTCATCGCCTAAAAAAAATACCTACGTTTGTTAATATGATAATAAATAAAAACAACTTTTGACAAATAAGAAAAACAAAAATGTACCTATAAGTTTGTACAAATTATAAATATATGCATGCATGTAAAAAATCTTGCAGTATATTATATTTATCCTCAGGAGTTTTCATTACTAATATTGAAATTTATTTGTCAGGAGGTTACGTGCACAAACTACACGAAATTCCCCTCTTCGAAATTACATGTATGTTGAAAACGGAAAGAGGTGACATAAATTTTTGTGTGTGAGTTTGGTTTTAATTTTGCCATGGTTTTGTAGCTTTGTAATTGATTTTGATTTAAAATTTTTTTTTGCTGTACTGAATATAACATACTGCAACGACTACACTGAGGAATGGGATGTCCTTTCCTCAAGAGTGCCGGTATTGGCTATTTGAATGTGTTTGGGGTGGGAGTAGAAGTGAAATTGGAAATTTCTTTTGAGCCTTCAGTTTGTTGTGTTCTGCAGGAGGTTCACATTCTCTCGGCAGCAATGGTCCTCCACAAACTGGATAAACACGTCAAAATGAAATCTCTGTTGTTTCTGGTTTGTTTAATATAATAATATACATGTGCACTGAAAAGCTTCTATTATTTCTGTCAATATTTTTTTTTTACACTTTTGCTGGAATGTTGGATTTAAATAAGATTGTTGCATGAATTTTTTCTATATTTTGAGTTATGTATGTTTCTTAGTGGCCTGTCGTTTTATAATTTGTTGAAGTCGTGAGGAGCGGTCAAAAATGAGGTAGTTTAGAAAAACACTTTTTTTTTGCCGACGATTCGACCTTTATTCTGTCGATTGGAAAAAATACAATACAAAATATGAAATATTGAAACAAATATTTCATACTTACATAAAGCGTGGTGCATTTCATGGGTGTCATATTGGTTTGGTGTGAAAGTGTTGTGAAACCTGAATTTGTAGTATGCTGTTTTTATTTGGTTGTGACAGGGTGAGGGACGAGGAAACCTGGGAAATTTTCTTTGTTCATTGAGATTTTATGGTATTTCCCAGATTTACCGTAAACTATCTCATTCTTGACCCCTCTTCACGACTTCAACAAATTTTGAGTTATTTTTTATTTTGGCATTTTCTTCTACTTTCAAAAGTATTTCATTTGTTTGTAGTCTGTAGAAACAATTGAATGCAATAGGAATTGTATATATAATTTATCATTACGCTTCTCATTGGGTAAAATGTCAGATTTGATGTGTAAGTATTTTGATTTTCTAATTACTAATTAAGAAAATAATTATTAATTATTCAGAAATCGTCACTAATCACCACACATAATTATTAATATATAATGTGATGGAAGCCTTGAACAATTTTTAAATTTAAGATATGGCTGTTTAATTAATAATGGGTGTGTTGAATTTAATTAACATTTATCTAAAGTTACGTCCAAACAAACTAAAAAGTTAATTTTTGAATCATAATTGATCTTATTAGCCAGAATTCACTATTTTGAAAAGAACAAAATAAAGACGAGGAAGCATAAACATTAGTTACGTGCTTATTAAGATTTAAAAAAATCTTTAAATTTAATATAAAAAGACTCGAAAATGATTTATAATACATAATTGAAAATTGATTTATTGGACCTTTCTACCACATAACGTGAGTAATTCATTTCACAAGAGAGTTAGGGACAGACAGAAAATATATACAGAAGAAAAGAGCTCCGAATAATACAAAATATAAATTTTTAAACAATAAACGTTAAGAGAGAGGGGAGGGTGAATGAGAGTGTACAGAGAAGTAGAGAGAGTTAAGACAACCGGGTAGATGTTCTGAGAGAGTTATTGATAGAGGGAGAGAGAGAAAGAGTGTGTGTGTGAGATAGAGTGTGAGAAAAAAAGAAGGATGGTGAGAAAGAGAGAGAGAGAGAGAGAGAGAGAGAGAGAGAGAGAGTGAAAGAAACAGAGAGTTAGCGAAAGTGGGGAGGGAGAGTGAGTGAGAGAGAGAGTGAGTAGAGAGAAGTAGAGAGAGTTACAAAGACAACCGGATAGATATTCGGATAGAGTGAGAGAAAGAGTGTGTGTGTGAGAGAGAGAGAGTGAAAAAAAAAAGAGGATGGTGAGTGGGAGACTGAGTTAGAATGAGAGAGAGAGAGAGAGTGAGTGAGTAAGAAAAAAGAGAGAGATGGTGAGTGACTGAGAAACAGACAGACAATCGAAGAAGAGAGAGCCCTGCAAAATACATACAACAGACAGAGGTAGTAGGATAGATATTCGAAGAGAGTGAGAGGAAGAGTGTGTGAGAGAGTGAGAAAAAAAAGAGAGGGATGGTGAGAGAGAGAGAGAGAGAGAGAGAGAGTGAATGAGTAAGAAAAAAGAGAGGGATGGTGAGTGAGTGGGAAACAGACAGACAAATATAAGAAAAGAGAGCCGTGCAAAATACAAACTACATTTTTATTTAGTGTGAGAGAGAGGGGGAGAGAGAGAAATCAAATTGACTGTTGTACAAATTGTGATTTTATGACTGACAGATACTTTCCGGCAAAAATAAAATATTGTGATAGCTGTTTAGACTCTGATTACACCACCTGGATAAAGTGTATGCAACAGTTACATTTTGAAAAATATTTTCGATAGATCCAAAATTGTACCAATTACCCGACGAAGAACGGGGTTGAACACGGTCTGTTTGACTCATTCAGTCGGTCGTCGGGTTTTGAATAGATAATCGTGTGATAAAAGAAGGACTGTGGTGGGAGTCGAAGTGAAAAGGAAACTCTTTGTAAGTCTTTAGTTTGCCGTGTCCTTCGAGAGGTCCCACATCCTCACCTCCACTGATAGAGATGGTACTCCAAATTCAAAAACTGGATAAACGATTGAAAATGAAGTCTCTCATGTTCCTGGTTCGTTGTTTTAAATTTAATTTTATAAGTTAGAGTCGTGTTTTGTGTGTGTTGTGTTAATTAGATGTTTTGCTTTTAATTGTAATATCAAATAAAGCAATTTACTATTTACTTGTAATATGCAAGAATACTCAACTGTATATACAAAAATGTAGATATTCGAACTTTCGTTTGTCCTTCGAAAACGGTTTTCAACACCGGCTTTCCTCGCTGGCCGGAAAATTGCAATGCAAGTCCACTGGAAATTACGGGTTATGTTGTAAGTTCTAGGTTTTTCACATAGAAAATCATACCTTTTGTCAACATCGCATACTTTAGACAGGTTCTTATTCTGTGAATTAGTAAACTTTTGTTTGACTATGATGAAAATGACTGTTCGTCTATTGCTATACTGGGTGTGTTTTTTAGATGGCCCGGCGGAATTTCACTTGAACAAATAACGTTATTAAAAAACCAAAAAAGACGTTTTATATTTTTTAGTAGTTTTAAGTTTTAAGCAGTTTTTCGAAATATTGTTGTCAGGATAGTTCAGAGCCAGTAAAACTTTGAAATTTTAAATGAGGACGTTTTTGCCCATTGTTTTAAAAGATTTAATACACTGAAAACAACGGCGCAATCAGATTTTAAATTGGTCAAAGAATGACAAAATGTGAAAGGAAATACTTAATTTGTTTTTATTATTTTCAATAAGCAATTTGTTTGTTAATAAAAATTCCGCGCTTTGTTTTTAAATAGGTCATTGTTAATATTGCCACGTGAAAAACATAAAATAACAACACATAATAAACATGATGATGTATCATCATTCTACAATCTACGTGTTTCGAACATCACGAACAACAAACAAAAACATAGAAATGTTCGAAAGACCATTTAACATCATCCCAAGAATTTCACAAAGCCAGCGCCGAAATAATAATAAAAACTAAATTAAGATTTTTTCACATTCTGTGCCAAAATTTTGTTATTCTTTGACCAATTTAAAAATCTGACTGCGCTATGGTTTTCAGTGTAAAAATCCTTAAAAACGGTGGTGGGTAAACATTTTTATTTAAAATTTAAAAGCTGTACAGGTTCTGAAGTAACATGACAACAAATACTTTAAAAACTCAACCAAAATTTTAAAACGACTAAGAAAGATTAAATATGTATTTGTTGATTTATCAGTAACCGTCTTCAGGAGAAATTCAGTCGGCCACTACGAAATAATATTCATGTAGAATTTGATAGACATAGAAATGATTTGAGGTGGGGTATGTCAGTTCACTTTTTGGATAAGAGTCCTACTCACAGACTGTTTTATGCTGCTATCCGGCCGCTATTAAAAATAATCTTCATCAGTCAGAAGATAGAAATCTATGTCTGTATCTAATTAGTCAATCATCCTGATGAGCATTTAATACTCGAAATACGATAAGCCTCTTAAAACAGTCTGTAAGTAGAACTTTTGATAGACATTGTTCAATTTATTGACGTCTATTGTCACAATACATATAATTTCTATTTGGTTGTGACTGGCATATCGAATTGACGTAACACGCCAATCTTAACGCATGTTCCATTTTAAAACTTTAAAATAAAAAAGGTTTGCCTTGGGAGAAACATTTATGGGTTGTAGAAATGATTTGAGGTGTCGTATAACAATTCACTTTTTGGAACTATCTTTTCTAAAAAGTTTATGGGTTGTCCTCAAAATGTAAGTGTTAATGACAACATAACAGAGTAAAGGCAAACACAATTAAATGTGCTTTGATTTTTGTATCAAGTTTGTATTCCTTTTTTAGTCAGAATTCACTGTGCAGAATTGACGGTCAATACCTTTTAGTTTTAATTGCTTATCGTGCGAATTTCTGTAAATAAATAAATCAATCAATTTGAATTATTTACTCAGATAATGGAAATGAAGTTGACAAGTTGTTGGTTGAGATTCCCCATTTAGCTGTAACATTGGGTATCATCCATTTTTTTTAAACTTTACTCCAGTATCTTTTACAATTCATTATGGATTAAGGAGGAGAGCACATTAGTTGATAAGCCGGTGGAAACGGTGGGGGAAGTGAAATTGGAAACTGTTGTTGAGCCTTCAGTCAGTTGTGTGCATCAACGTGGATCGACTGGCATCTCATCTCTCAAATGCGATGGTACTGCACAAGTTGGATAAACACACAAAAATGAAATCTCTCATGTTTCTGGTCAGTTTTTGTTTCTTATTTTATCTAAATAGGCTTTGAATTGAAACCAGTTCTTCTTTTTAATAAAAAATACTCATACCCTGTAACGAAATATCGTACCAAATAAGAAATTTACAGTAAAAAATCGGTGTTATTTTATTTGTGTGTGTGCACGCGTGCTACATGTCGCTTAATTTTTTTTAAAAGACACATTCTGTTTATATTTTAGAAACTCACCGTATAATCAACAGTGACAGTCGTTTCCTTATCATTGCAGTTATATGTGTGTTTTGTTAATTATCGTGATTTCAACACAGTGACCTATCTTCAGTTAGAACTACGTGCTCTTTAACCGTACATAAAAATGTTGACACGTCTTTCAGTACCATTTTAGCCATTGACATTATTCTAGCGCAGGTTAAAATGAACTTTTATTATTCATAATTAAATTATATTTAATGGTTTTGATAACAATTTCTAAAACGGTTTGACGGTTCAACATGAAATAGAGCATTAACAACGGGATTCTTGCGCCTATATAACGCTTTAGAGATGTCGGCATTTAACACTCGTTTTAATGAATTGATAACTCTTGCCAAGGCTTAAATCGATTAAAAAACGAAATGTAATTTTTAAAAAAGTACTGATAAGTATTGATAAAATGTGTCGCCTCTATTTCCGTGTTATGTATTTTTTTTTCCTACTAGGCTTGGGTTAATATTTACACAAGACCCTGGTATCACACACGTTTAGAAACGTTTTTAGGTTTCTCTTCGAATCGTTCGTTTTGAATTTTATTCTTTAAAAAACGTACTGTCCGAAGGTAAAAGTTCGTTCAATTAAGAAAATATAAAACGTGCGACTTATAAGCGCTCTCACGACTCACTTTCTACAGATTTGCCTTTCATTGAAGAAAAAACTCGAGAGTGTAGGATAATAAAAATACAAAAATTTGTCGGCTTATTGCAAAATGCAGTAATTAGAGATCCCAGCTATTACAAATATGACAGAAAGGGTGGAAAAGTGTCCCCGGTTTCTTAGTGTATCTCAAATCGGCGTTCGATTATGTTGATAGAAACGCTCTGTTTTTTAAGTTGATGCTAATAGGAATTTGAATAAATTTTATTAAATTTTTTGATAGTGTCCATCCTGATTTTGTGGAACTCCAGATGATGATTGGAGATTGACTTTTTCACAATAGGCATTTACGCGCATTAGTCAGACGCGTTTCGGTCTAATATAGACCATCTTCAGTGACTTACTTAATATAAAGTTACAATGTAAGAAAACAGTCAAATCATTTTAAATGAAAAAAAGTCACGGAAGATGGTCTACATTAGACCGAAACGCGTCTGACGAAATAAAATGCCTATTGTAGAAAAGGCTATTAATGACTTAAAAGGCAGTTTAATAGGGATTGACGGATATAATTAGAAATTATTAGTATTTGCGGACGATGTGGTAATATTGGCTGACAACCCTAAAGATTTACAAAAAAAATAATCAGATGGAAACTTATTTTGACACTTGGAACCTTATGGCCAATCTGGACAAAATGAAATAATGATTGTCCGTAAGGATGGTGGCTGCTGCTTCAGACACGAAGTTTGTAGGCATGGTGGATAATTGAAATAGTATCGACATATATCTAGGAGTGTATTTTTCTTCGTCTCTTTCATACAACCATTACTGAACCAGAAAAGCAAGACAGGCTCTTTTAGGATTAAATTCCGTTTAGTCTAAATTCATAGCAAATGAAGATAACGCTGAAAGCTAAGTGCGTCGTTTTCAAAGCTGTTTCTCGTTCCGTCCTCACCTATGGCTGCCACGTTTGGAGATACCATTATTCTGACGCCATTGAAAAATTGTTTCAGCTTCCCAGTAACACCCCGAATTACACGATTTGTGTTGAGGCCAAATGCCTTCCCATTCATGTTTTTACTTTCTACGTTTTATATATGTATGTATTAAGAGTTCAAGAACTGAAGTCATCCAGTTTACTTTAGTGGCCTATGAAGTAATTACGAGGAAAATTCTTTGGTGGATGATGAAGCTAGGTGTTGGCAGTTTTAGGTTCTTCGAAGAATGGGGGCAAAAATGGAGTGAATTTTAAGTATAAAATTATAATTATTTATCAAAAGGAACAGAAATCTAAGTCGCTAGAAGGAAAGTATCGACAGAAATCGTGAACTGAGACTGGACGTTGACTATATGAATTTGGGCGTAAATATTGATGATTTTATAATTAATGATTTAATTTTAATAATTTATAATTAAAACTACAAAGGAATTATTCAATATTCATTATGAACCCTACAACTCGGGAAGATTTACCTCTGCTCCTTATGTAATAGGAAAGAAATTTCACTTTTTGGGCCGTTGCCCAATATTAAAGCGCACAAGGGAAAAAATTCTAGTTCCGAAAACCTATCGGATATAGCCGTGGTTAATCTTCTAAACGGAACCTATTGGTTGGATTTGGATTTATTCAAGCCCAGATCTGCACTTGTATGTACATATGTACTATACGTGAGCAGAGTTGAACTAACCACTTATTGCAATCCACCGGCAATTCCAGCTTTTGTAATTTACAAAAGACCTGAATCGAGTGTTGGCAGTCCGGCATAGATATTGGTCCTTTCGTACAACCGCCGAGGTGCTGTCAACGGCTAGATCAATTCAGCACCCAACGCATGCAGTTCCCAAATCCATTCAAACACTCACTGATTCTTACATACATTCTCTCATACCGATCACTAAACTAGGGTGGTGGAATACGTAATATTCTAACTTCACCCTCTACAGATACAGACCTAACCTATTGAGGGTCTATAGGGTACTAAATATTTGGCTCTACCTCTCACATTACTACACTCTCACACTAGTAAATACATCCATTCTCAACACACGCTAGGTACACAAAGCTATCTGTACTTCTTACAAAACAATAGGGGGCTCAAGATACTCGCTGCCAAGCTCAAGCACGTTTATCAAGTCGGGTGGCAAGCCTACGCGCTCTTTTTACAGAGCCAAGGAGTTGCTCCTTCGATTAGGTGGGACACTTGAGCAACCTTGAAAAACTTGAGCCAACTATTGCCCGAGTCCATTGGCTAAATGTAATAAATTATTAAATCCATTATATTTCGTGGTCCGATTGACGAAATAACTTCTTTCAATTAATTAATCTTTATGTAAGGTATTGGTTGAAAATGAAAAAGTTAGTGATACGAGCGGGATTCGAACCCACGACCTTCGACTAAGACGCCCCTGCTCTATCACTTGAGCTATCGTGACTTCGATCCACTCGGACACCAACTTCCCATATCAATCTAAATTTCGAATTTTCCCTCCTTTTTGCCATTTTTCAAATGTCGTATAATCAGGATTCGATTCTCGGCGACAAATGAAATGGCCACGGAGAACTTTAGTGAAGATATACTTCGTTTTACTTATTAAATTCATTATATTCCGTGGTCCGATTGACCAAATAACTTCTTTCAATTAATTAATCTTTATGTAAGGTATTAGTTGAAAATGTAAAAGTTAGTGTCACGAGCGGTATTCGAACCCACGACCTTCGGTTTGGTCGCTATAATTATTTTGGTGTTGTATTCAATTTCTTTTATTTTTTCAAATGGATGTGAAATCCTGACAGGTGGCTCGGTTGTTGTCGTTTTTGATACTTTTTTATTATTATTTTTGTATTTGTTTATAATAAAAATCCCAAGGTTTTTATTATCGACTTTCCGTACGAAGCTAAGTCCAAATTGTAGTAGTTTTCATCTGATCAGTTTTAGATTTATTTTCCAGTTTTGTAAAGATTAAAAATTCAGAGTCAATTGTTTTATAAGTCGTAGACGTCTATTAAAGCTTCTCATAGTTGTGTAATAGTCAATGTTCATGACATGACAATCGTCCAATACGGAGACAATGGACGGAGGGAGGAACAGACTTTTTTTTTTCTTTCCGACCCGGCTTTCAATTTTAGAATAGGCCAAAGACGGCAATTTTCTTTGCCACAGCCTCAATTACCTGTGCAGAGCTAAGTTGTTAACTATTGACTACGACCTCCGGAGAACGTGAAAAACAGGACGTCTTCCACTTTCTTTCTAATTCTCTACCTCCTCTCATACAAATGGATTTTTTATCATGGAATCGTCATTTTTATTAGCTACGAATTGTCATAAATAACATACATGTTTTTTGTTTTGAAATAGCGGAAAATTGATTTAATAATATTTTAAATCATTTTTTTTTTTGTCGTGTTTCATTTATATAAGCTTACTTAGCCTGTAAGAATGTAGAAGTGAACATAAATTTAGGAAATGGGTGTTAATAATAGCCCGGTCTTTCTTGTTTTCTATTTTATCTTCTCTGTATTTGTGCTCCTAAAAATTGTACATTAAAGCGAAGAGAAGCTGTCGTTTAAATTATGCAAGTTACAGTCTTTAAATGGATCCTTGAGCCTATTTTGAGGTTCAAAAATGTTGTTTATACAAAAATTTTCCTGAACGAGAACTTTCAAATAATATAAAGTTAATAAAGTTTAAGAATCGATGCTCCAGTCATTCATTTTCAAAACGATATTGACTTATTCCACAAGTTTGGTCTGTTTTTAAACTTTTTAATTTGCATGAAGTTTCACTTTAAACTATATTTACTAGTGAATTATTCTTTTTAGTTAAGGTTTTAAGGTTTAACTGTATTTACTAGAATAGATAGGCGCTTAAATATTTTTAATTCACGAGAATTCATTTGCTTCGCATTTTTTTTATGTTCAGATCTTCATAATCATATTCCATGCTTCTTGATGTTACTAGCAGTTACGTTATATTATGTAGCAATCACTTGCAATCCCCATTTTTTAAAAGAGTACCACCACACAAAAAAATCTTGCACATCTCTCTTGCCAAACTTTGTTAATATTCTTTTAATTTCACAGGGTGATTACATACGGCACCCGGTACTGTACGAGCTGAGCCATAAATATGGCCTGCAGACGGAATCTGTGCCGGAGGCGGCTTTGCCGAACAAACTCGAGGAACTCAAGGAGCTCATCAGGAGGGAAATAAGAAAAGAGCTTAAAATCAAAGAGGGTGCGGAAAAGCTCAGGGAGGCTTCCAAAGACCGTAAGTCCTTATCGGACGTCGCCCACATAGTGAAAAAGTCCAATTCGAAGCTCTCAGAGCTGCAGGCCGAACTTCAGGAACTCGAATCGCAAATAATTCTAACCCAGGGGCAGAGCGATCCTCTCCACACAAGTAACGGCCATGGTGAGCGCAATTTTTCTATTATTATTTCGATTGCTCCTATTTTTCACCAAAAAAATTAAGATGGTTATTTTTTTGTTAATCCATATTGAACAAATAAGTATATTTCCTAAAAGTCATTCATTTATATTTAATATTTCAATTAATTACACCTCTTATCTAAGGTCTTGGTTTAGCTTTGGCTTTTAGCTAGTTTGGCAAATTTAGCATAAATATATTCAGATGACACGTGAGAGATGACAGATAGCTGGAGTGGAAGTTTCGAGATTGATTCGTTCAGATCTCTTAAGCTTATTGCAATTCCTAATAAGTAATAAATTTTTTATTAGTAGTTAATTGCCCTCTTTATTATTAAGTCTATCGTAGACAATGTTTTGAATTTCAATCGTGACGTTTTGTAGATTAATTCTTTTACGCATTTGTGTTCTTCTCTTAAAAACCTTCTAAATAGTGAAAAAGATCCTTAACGTGGAAGATTATGAGCATTAATTAAAATTTCCCAATGGTGTCTGCACGCAAGATTTTCTTTTCTGGTCCCAAAAGATTAGAAATTTAAATTTAAACCCTCCCGCTCCTTCGGATTATTTTTTTTTTCACTTTATTTTTGACGTCACCCTTGAGACAGCTCGCTAAATCTGTCACATAACTCCGGTTTCCTAGGAAAAAGGCACGCCTTTCTCACAAAACAAAATATGGGGTAACCACCGTTGTTTATTGACATCGTTTAGGCTCGGACGTTATTGTGTTTATATCCTTTTTCCGTGATTTATCATTAGGTCTACGTTTTCCTGCCTTGTTAGTACAACATCGAAAAAGTTAGACTTCAAAAGAAAACATTATGTAAGTCAATAGAATTGTATTAATTTGTACTTAGAATTGTTTATTTTTTATTACTTAGAATTGTAATTAAAGTATCAACTTCGTAATAACAATAAAAATGCTTTGCATACTTCATCGTTAATAACTTTTGCATTATTTATAGTTCTAGTATAATAACGAAAACCATAAATTCATAGTTAAATTTTGTTTTTCATAGCAGTCGTAAGAGGGTTAGAAAAGAAGTTCATGTAGTATATAAAGTATGATTTATTTTAATTTTGCAGTGTTGATTATTCATTAGTGTAGAAAATATTAACAATAAAGTAAAACTGTAAAGTTGATGGTGGAGTTTAGTATACAAGTCGGTGAGCACATGAACTGACATAGGTCCGTCTACACTCGCTAGTTTCGATGTCACTCAAATGCGTTTTGGCTTTTGGCTTTCCCCATCGTCAGTGAGGATGCATTTTTGGAGGGCCATGTTTTATGGTAAGTTGCTAGGCCAAAATAGGGTCCAGTGCTTAGAGAATTCATATTGACTCCTTTTTTTGGCCAAATTGTCCAAACCCCTGGTATCGGTCCCTGGGCACTAGGTCTACAGGCAATGAGAAATTGGACAGGTCATTCTTCTTATGACTTCTGCCAGGTCTTCCATACAATTGTTGCCTTTATCCCTTTTGCGTCGTCTCTATACAGTAATCTTATGCATACATATACAAAGATGAAACTAAAATTTATATAAAGAAGAAAATTAAAACGAACCCACTACATAATTAGGTTCAGCGGTTATTGAAGGAAGAATCTAATTTTTTATTATTAGAAAACTATTAATTAAAATAATAATTAATAAGCCGGCGGTAAAACATTTACTATTCCCGTTTGGGTCAATAATTACTGATGATATAAGGTCTTGGTCCGGTATTGATATGACAAATATACAAATAAGGATAACAACTACGGTTATTTCACATTCGTGTTTTCCTGGGATTTCTAAAAATTGTATTGTGTCAGATAAATTCTCTTAAAAATTCTCCCTTATCGGAACATTGAAGATTAGTTTTATCAAGCGTAATTAAATTTGTAGTAAAGGCTGCGTTTATCTAGCGAAAATAAACCAAAAGGCATTCGGATAAATGCAATGTTTATAATACTCACATTGTGCATTTAAGGCTGTTTACGACTTTCTGACATTGGAAAACTCTCACATATCGAGTACGTTAAGGAAAACCCCTATGGCTAACTTGCCAGTTTCTAGTAAATTAATATTACGTCCATAACTTCCATTGGCGTATCGCCCTAAGAATATTGAACTGTTTGTTCGGTAATTCTCTAACATTAAGAGCAATTAATGGGAGTAATTATCGAGAAACTAAGTTTCAGTAAAGCGATTTTCCAAAGTGAAAGGCCGTACGAAACAACTCGAGTTGATATTATTCAAAAGTATCTATAGTTTTGATATTCTAATATGTGCTAGTGGGTTATGATCATGTCATAATTTAATTATTATTTTTTGGTATTTACCCAAATTCGTTATTTTGAGAGTTTCTCGCCAATTTTAATGTTCTACTTATTATTGAGTAAAATTCTAGCTTTGCTCTTTAATTATTTTTGATCATTTTGATTTATTTATTTTTTTTTTTAAGTAAAATAAATTAATTCTTGTAAAAAAGGGTGGCTTAATGGGGGTCAAACCACTTTACAATACTTTGTCCATTAAATTTCATTATAATTAAACTTCCATGAACTATGCCGACCGCTAGACGAGTCGGACGCCCAACCATTTTGAACATTGTAATATTGATATGGTCATTAGACTTAATTATACCTAAACTTCAATTGCTGAAAGTGTATTTTGGATTTGGATTTACATAATCTCAAATGTACATAGTTAAGCGTAACACTTTTCGCACTAAACCGGCAATCCCAGCTATTTACTTTACAGTCTTGCCTGTATACTCGGCCGTCCTAAAAAGGACAATGAGGATCTTTAACGTCCGCACCTAGCCTATTCGGACGTTTTGATTCTCAAAATGAGAGCTGACGCACCTCCACATACGACAGAATGGTGTTACTGCCGCAGCATTGGTATAGAGGCAGCTAAGGCCCTTCGGCCCACCCTCTCTCCCCGCTTGCCCATTCCGAGTGGTCGGGTCTGCATTAAGCAGCATACTGCCGCACGCAAAGGGCTACCTAAGCCCCGAAATACATCAGCACGGTCCCCCTCGCACTCCCTAGATAGAGAAGGCTATCTCCCAGAGTATTGTGGCTTCCTAGAGTAGAAACTACCGGATCCGCTCCGGCCGCGGTTTTGTTTATAGTGGAATTGCTAACCACCCTCTTACCAGCAGATTTGGAGAACGACCTACCCAGTGAGATGGTAGTCCGGAGTCAGACCTCGGTCTTATGCGTCCATCCAACGCGGTTGGTTGGGCTCCGGGTGTTATCAACAGCTAGGTATTTCAGCCCTCTACCACTCACCTTTAAACCTATCATATAACTAACCTAATTAAGGGTCGATGGGGTAATCAGTATTCCGCCATGAGCCCTCTCACTTTACGCTAATAAATTCATTCACTCTCAACAGACACTAGTTATACAAAATTAGCATTTCTATATAAAGTACAACAACCCTGTTGCCCCAAGAATCAGAACAGGGGACTCTGTATCAGTACTTTCCTCTTTGTGTATGTTTATTCGAAAAATAATGTTGACTAACTTCCCAGTCTTTTTTCTTTAGCTTTATTGTAACTTCAAATGTTAAGCAATATTCAAATTGATATATGAAATGACCTCTAAACGCTTGAAACAAAATTAAAAATAACAAATAGCACATTAGTTCTTATTTTAAAATCTAGTCATTTAAAAAATAATAAAACGAATATGGAAAGAAAAGAGAATGTGGATGTTGACTTGTTAGTGCGCCGTTAAAAAATTCTCGCAGTTTTTAAAATCTTTAGGGAAAACGATCGGTTTGTCATTTAAACTTTGCTTTTATAACCATTTCTTTTAGAGATTGGTCGCTGCCATATTTCCGAAACACCCTATATCCATTATTTATTAACGTACAATACTGGGTACAATCATGAATAATGTTAAAATAAAAGAAATTTGTTGCCATGAAATAAAAAATTTTGTCTAACCAATTAATCAAAGGTATATTAAAGGTAAAACTATAAACTGAACACTCCGGTCAGGTTCAATTAGGAGTTGGTGCTAGATTTCACTCGAGCAGACAAATGGATAGGTTTTGTTAATGATTTGAAGTAACGGCATCCAATCTGTTAATCAACAAGGACAATTCGAAAAGGCACTGAACTTAATTCTCCCTGCACCGCTCTAAAGTTCACGACCTCACTTTTGTTTTGTTGACTTTTTTGAAAAGGGGGAAACTTTATTATTCGACTAAGTAAACAGACAATGAGTTTAATTTATAACTTCTTTGTAAACATGTAAAACCGTGTACACTTAAAAAGAACTGTAAGTTGAAATCTCATATCGAAAAGATAAGTTTCTTTTATACCGTTATAAATACATAAATTCTGTTTGTTCTTGAAACTATTCTCTTCAAGATTTTAAGTACATAAAGTATATTAAAATTTATATCTTAATTAAGTAAAGTTAATTCCTATCACAAAAGGAGGCTTTAATGACCAACTACCTACTACCGTTGAGTGACACGGACGAGGGGTCAAACCACTTTACAATACTCACACTATTCACAATTAAAAGTCCCGGGGCTCTGCCGGGTTTCGAACCTAGGACCACTAGAGGGGCAAATACACGAGTCCACCCTAAACACTCGGCCCCCGCGGTCCCATAAATTTTATATAATTGATTCAATCCTCGGTGAAACGTATTTAAATACGTGAAATTTGGTTAGACAGCGTTCTACAAATCGGTCTATTGCTTACTAATCTATTTTTTATATTGTCAACAACAATGCGAGACATTTTTATTTAAATGAGAGATGAAATTCGAAAGGGTTCGCAAATCCATTTACTTTGCTTGAAATTTGACTAATCAAACCGAAACAAATTTTGCCCATTGACTTCTGTCTTCCAATGGTTACAGTACTCGTGACAAGGATATTAGAAAAAAACTGCAATAATGAATACACGACACAACTAATACAAGTTACGAAACTAACCATTGAACAAAATACTTCAAAATTAATGACAAATTCA